AGAAATATAGAAGGGGCAGCGCCTTATTTAATTCAGGCAACAGATTTTTGGCAAGATTCTATTGCCTCTTCGATTGTTTTTAGAATTAGAATTTGAATGTGAGATGGCCATTTGTGAATCATTATAATAGCTATTTTAATTTAAAAATGAAGTTGGACTCTTTTTGATAGAAAGCCACATTTGATGGTTTAACAGTGTGGAGTGGTTTGCCAAATGGGTTATACAGTAGACATTTTCCATATATATTCTGTGTATAAGCTAAATGTGTAGTTCCGAGATTTGATGAAAATATGTTGGGCAGGTGCAGTGGCTCAAGCCTGTAATCACAGCACTTTCGGAGGCCAAGGTGGGGTGGATCACTTGAGCTCAGGAGTTTGAGATCAGGCTGGGCAACATGGTGAAATCTCATCTCTATCAAAAATACAAAAAATTAGCCAGGTGTGGTGGTGAGTGCCTGTGGTCCCAGCTACTTGGCAGGCTGAGGTGGGAGGATCGCTTGAGCCTGGGAGGTGGCGGATGGAGTAAGCCAAGATCTGCCACTGCACTCCAGCCTGAGCAACAGAGCCAGACCCCATCTGAAAAATATATATATATATATATAAAAAACACTTTTAAAATGTACTTGTACAATATACAATATATCTGAAAATGCATCCTAACCACTTAAACTTTAATTTTCTTTTTTTTTGTTTTTTTTTTGTTTTTAAGAGATGTGGTTTCACTCTGTTACCCAGGTTAGAGTGCAGAGGCACAATCACAGCTCACTGGATCCTTGAACTATGGGCTCAAGGAATCCTCCTGCTTTAGCCTCCTGAGTAGCAGAGATTACAGGTGCACACCACCTCACCCACTTAATTTTTAAACTTTTTTTTTTTTTTTAAATAGAGACATGGTCATGCCACCTTGCCCAGGAAATAGTTTTGAACCCCTGGGCTCAAACAATCCTCTTGCCTTGGCCTCCCAAAGTGCTGGGATTACAGGTGTGAGCCACCATGCCTGACTTAAAACTTAAATGTTAATTTAAAAATGTATGAGGAGTATATGGTTTTAGAGATTTATTTTAGATTAGAGAAAAAGTACTTATAGCTCACTGGACATATGGCAAAGGCAAGGTATGCTTGGTTATTGGTACATCTACATTTGAAAGCTGCTTTTGGTATCCACTTGTTCCTAATCTCTTGGTGTCAAGGATACTGCTTAGTACATCATGTGCTCATCAGTAGTTAAGCTCCTTATCAATAGATAAGGTGAGTACCAAGTTAAATAGATTTCATTTAGCGTATATAAGGAAGATTAATAATAGAATCTATAATGAATTGTAATCATAATAGGAGACTATACAACAGTTTAAGATATAAAAAATTCATGATATCACCAAAACTGTAGGATGGCAAAACAGACTGTAGATACAGGAGCACAAAGGAAATGGAAAGCAGGCAAGACATGTAAGGTGGGTTAGACATTGGTCATGAATTCCTTTATCCATTTTAAATGGAATACCTAGTTAACTTCACCCAATTTCTTTTCAGGATTCCTAACAGAAACCTTTCATTTCAAACATAAGCAAAAAGTAAATGAACAATGAAAGAATATTTTTTGAAGTTAAAATAAAAGTGTAGTAATAATCATTATTTTTAACTTATTTTATGTTAAAATCCATTAAATAGGACATTGGATTTTTCTCCCCCTCCCCTCCCCTCCCCTCCCCTCTCCTTTCCTTATCTTACCTTTCCTTTCCTTTCTTTTTGATGGATTATCACTCTTGCCCAGGCTGTAGTGCAGTGGTGAAATCTTGGCTCATTGCAACCTCTACCTCCCGAGTTCAAGTGATTCTCCTGCTTCAGCCTCCTGAGTAGCTGGGATTACAGGCGCGGACCACCATGCTTAGCTAATATTTGTATTTTTAGTAGAGATGAGGTTTCGCCACGTTGGCCAGACTGGTCTCAAACTACTGACCTCAGGTGATCTGCCTGCCTCGGCCTCCCAAAGTGCTGGGTTTGCAGGCATGAGCCACCATGCCCGGCCTAATGTCTTGTGTTTCTAAGTTCTTTGCAGTAAGTATATTAGAATACTGCTGAATCTCACTTAGTCCAAACAGACTTTCTATGTATTTCCTATTGCTAGAAGAACCCCCAAATCTACACCTCCTATAATTTTCAACTTTTTAGTTGGCCCCACTATCCACTTTGTCTAAGCCAGAAAGGTAGGAATCATCTTAGATTTCTTTCCTTTCCCAACATTTTTTGATTTTATATTTCCTCTCTCTGTATGTAAACTACGAATGCTGTCTTTTTTAGGTTCTCATCTTCTGTCACCTAGACTAAGGCCAGTCTTCTAATTGGTCTCTCTGCTTCAGTTTTGGCCTGTTAATCACATCCTTCAAATACTGCTGTAGTGATTTGTAAAATGCAAATTTGATTATTTTTACCTTCTGCTTAAAAATGATTCAGTGACTCCTCATCACCAGAGAGAGTCACCATTCTCTGATGTATTCCTCGCCTAATTCTAGGCATGAGCTTCACTCCATTCTAGATGTCTTAACTGGATTATGCTACTTGCACTTCTCTTATCTCTGCCTTTTTTTTCTTTTTTCTTTTCCCTGAAATACTTCTTTTATTCCCTCTAGATCCTACTCCCAGTCCACAATTCTTACCCACTTGATGAGCACTTACTTATTTTTCTGGATTTAAGCATCATCTCCTTTATGATGCTTTCTTTGGATATCTCATGTGAATTAACCACTCACTTTTTTGTGCCACACTGGATTCTTCAGACCTTCAGTCTAGTACTCTTAAAAGTTTGTTATTATTAGTTGATTAGATCTGTTTAATTCCCCTTGACTGCTGTAGGCTTCTATGTTTTGGCACATAATGGGTCAGTAAATTAATGGAAGAAATAAGTCTAGTGTACTTACCATGGGCATGTTATTGTGGGATAAACATTGCGTTTAAGTCCAGCTCTATGCTGTAGCTCAGCACTGTGATAATGTTTTATGGAAGATGGCAATCTAAATTTGTGGATGAATTAAAAATATAAACTATACAGATAGAATTTAATTGTTGTTATTCTTGGAAAAAAGACGACCAGCCCTGAGAGAGAATATTGTAGTGGGGTGAAAGATATTTTTGGGTTGATTAGAGAAGGTAGTCAAGAAGTGAGAGGCAAGTGATGGTAGTTTGACTACACAGAATACAGAGCACTGATATAGAGGGAGGGATCAGAAAAATGGAATACTCTATCTGAAGAAGGATTCTGAGGGGGAAATTAACGTTAGTTTCCTCGGAGACTGGGGAACTAATCATGGAAAATTGCACAAAGAATAGTTATTGACAGATGATTTTGTCATATGTAGTCTGAAATGGTGCCATGACAATCAAGAGGAAATATAAGAGGGGGAAAATAATGATAGAATCAATGATATGTGATAATGAGAAGGTAGATTTGGGAGTAATACATAAATTGATCTTGTGGAGAGGAAGGGTGACTGATTATTAGAAGTGATAAGATAGTAAGGATGGCCATAAGGATGGTTGATTATGAGAAAAAAGTAGTTGGTATACAATTTTTTTAGATAATAAAATAGGATAAAATGTTAATAACTATTTAAAAGAAATTTTAACACATAATTATATTATTAAATCTTTAATGACTATTCCTGGGCATACTTCAAGTTACCACTGGAGTTTCCAGGCCTAGTAATTATGACCTAAAATAATTAGCTGATCAATTAAATTATAGAGAAAAGAGATATAAAATCAACCAAGGACACTGGCATTATATAGAGGCAGCACTATCAAGTGACTATAGTGCAAGATCTGAAGTGAGAGAAGATGTTGTTTTTGTTTTTAATTTTATTTTAAGTTTCAGGATACATGTGCAGGATGTGCAGGTTTGTTACATGGGTAAATGTGTGCCATGGTGGTTTGCTGCACCTATCAGCCCATCACCTAGGTATTAAGCCCACATGCATTAGCTATTTTTCTTGAGGCTTTACGTCCCCCACCCCTACTGCCTGCCCCCCACCAACAGGCCCCAGTGTATGGTGTGTTGTTCCCCTCCCTGTGTCCGTGTGTTCTCATTGTTCAGCTCCCAAACATGTGGGATTTTAAGATAGGACTGTGTGATTGTCTTTCTTCTGAGTCACAAATGTTGTGCTATCACCCATATTTCAAAGAAACAGTGATATCTCAAAACACATGATTTGGTTTTTAATTATTGTAAGTTCTTGTATCAGTCATTATTATTGCATTATCACTTTCACTGTTATCATTACTTTATGTTAAAGAAAAGAGAAATGAAACAATTGAGTTTACTTTGTAGTTTATTTAAATGACCTTTTGACCAAAATACGTATTTTCTCATTTTCTTTTCCACACTTATCATATTGGGAAACAGTGACCCCAAATTACCAGTGGTAATCAATAATAATGACTTTAAAAAGGTTTTCTTTTTAGTAATATTAAGTATAAAAGACTTCTGAAAAAATTGGGACAGAGATAAACTTCAGAAGCAATATGTATAATTCATGTAAAATTACATTTTATCGACTTTTAATAGTATATGATGAAATTAAACATTGATGCTATGTTTTTTATTGTCTTTGTATATAAAACTTTTGTTCTTAAACATTTTTCAGTCTTTTGAACTCAGTGTTTAACTGATTTTATTTGTAGAAAGAGCATTCTTTTTTTTTCCAATGGTTGGATATTTAATTGCTTTTATGGAAATTATTTTGTTTATATATCTTAATATATTCTCTTATGTAGCATGCTTTTGCTTGAATTGAATGAAATGTATGGAAAAAAATTTCCCCCCTAAAATTTTTTAAAATCTAAAATTTTAGATTTCAGTCAAAATGTACTTTAGACGTTTTCAGAATTTTAATTTTACTAAAAAAACTTGTAGAAACTCTCATTTGTTTTAAGAATGGAATTAATTATTTCTTTTTTGTTTTGTCTTTTCTGTCTTTTCTAAATTGCTTTCGTGGATATTCACTCCAGGAGGACAAAGTGGTTAGAGTCTTTTTTTCTGTCTAATATTAGTTTTTCCTTATTGTTGTTATTGCCAGTTTTAATTTTATAGCTATATTTAATTTATATACTTCTCAGTGTTTTGTTATGATGCATGGTCATTGCTAAACATTATGGCATATGTAAGCATGCTATCTGCTTTTACTGAAAAACTTACATTAAATTATTTACACTTTATATATTATAGATAAAAAATTGATTATTTGATTTTTAAAGAGGCTTGCCTTTTTAGAATTCTTTTCAAGGAGACCTCATAGCATTCCTCATTGTGATAAAATTTCTATAATCTTCTGTTATGCTAAACTCATTGTTGCACTGCTAAGGTTTTAAAATCTTATCTTTCTGACTTAGTATAAAGATTTAACTGTTGTAATAATGAAGTAATAACACCGAATATGAATTTTCTGAAGTATGTATTTGGCAGTTGATTGTAAGTATTTCATGTATTTTATTTTTCTCATATGTTTTAGAATTTGGTAAAATGTTTATCTTATTATCTTCATGTTAAATATTGGATGTATTTATACTTTAAAAATACTCAGGTGGATACGACTAGACTACAGGCTAGGTTTTAATAATCTGTTAGTATGTGCCCTTAGTGGTCTGATTTGAATTTGGATTTGCCATGGAGACTGATGACTCCCTGCAAATACAGATAAAAATCCTTTTGTCTGATTCTTTTGGATGAGTCAGACTTAAACTTGAGGACTTTTCAAGTTTACCCATTTCAAATTGGCATAAAACTCAAAGAGAATATCATTCAGCTGATAGTTTCTAAATAGTGTCTTCTTTTTTTTTTCTTTTACCAGCTGGAGCCTTTTTCTTCCCCTCCAAGTCTTTAGTTACTCAGTTGGGGATGATGTAGATGGTGGCAAATATTGAATGTGGGCTTAGAATAAAATCTCTGAGTAAAAGAAAGGTTACTGCAATTTCTTTCTTTTTCTTTCCCTTTTAAAAAAAAACCTGTAGGAATCCTACCAAATTTTAGATGCAATTTTGAAGATATATGGGTCAATTTCTGTAGACATGTCCCAGACTGTGCATCATCCTTGATCTGGGGCAGGTTCCCTAGAAAACCTATGAGCTATCTACCAGCCCACCTGATCTTCTGACTCACAAGTAGCATAATTCAGGCAATTTATAACCTTTAGAATATCTGGTGCTACTTTTGTGTACAGAGTTAATGCAGGATGCATAATGGTTAAATTATTGTTTGTGGCTTCTGTAATGAATTCTGACACCTGCCCCAGAAATGAGGCACTTAATGATGATAAAACCCAGCTTTAGAAATGACTTTTATGCATTGATAAGATTTCATAATTTAGCAGTCTATATTTTAAATTTAAGATTGACTACAAGATAAAAGTATAATTTTGTGTGGATTTGGGACATTGCAAATAAAATTCAGCAGGCCTTTTTATAATACTATACATCACTGTTCAATAGAACTTTCAGCAATGATGAAAATGTTTTACATCTTCACTATCCAGTTCAGTATGTTCTAGTCACATATAGCTATTGAACACTTGAAAAGTGGCTAGGTGACTGAGAAACTGAATTTTAAATTTTCTTTAATTTTAATTAATTTTAATTTAAATAACCACATGTGGTTAATGGTTAAAGTAAACCTAAGTCTAGATAGCAAATTCTATGAGTTTTCAACTTCTAAGGCAATATAGAAGCTCTTGAACTCATACTAGCAATATGATGTATGTTCTAGCAGTGGATGTGAATGCCATACAGACTCTAAGAAGAGTATACTTGTTAGTCCCAATCGTATCTAACGCCAAGGAGGATAATGGGCAAGGGACATTCTGCCAAGGTAGACTCAAGGGATATGAAAGACAGTCATCAAGGGAAAATATCTAGATAGCTCAATCAGGGGCAACCAGATGGGCTAACCAATGAAACTAAGCTATTGTTCATATACGGGTTGCTGTGTGCTATGGACAGTTGTCGCTGTATATTTATGATTGTTCATATTTATGAATGAGAGTTTTTATTACAGTTACCCTGTTTTTTCTCAATCATTGTGTATTGGGTGTATTGGGAACAGGTATAATTTGTCTTCTAGTGTATAGTTGAGTGGTTCACAATGATGCACACTGGGCCATGATGGTAAGATTTGTTTTTCCTCAGAGATCCTGGATTTGGAATTAGATTTTATAACTAGATGAAACTTTGGGATTACCTCCTTTAGGGAGAAGGAGAACGTATTACACGCAAAATATATGTATGGAATGTTGAATAGCTGAAAAAGGAGACTGTTATTGACTATGCTCAATGGCTCAACAACCTTTTTTTGTGTGTGTGGGTGGTGGGGAGGAAGGTGGGGGTCACTCACTCTGTTGCCCAGGCTGGAGTGCAGTGGTGTGATCTCAGCTCACTGCAACCTCCACCTCCCGAGTTCAAGCGATTCTCCTGCCTCAGCCTCCCAAGTGGCTGGGATTACAGGTGCCTGTCACCTCCCCCGAGTACTTTTTTTTGTGTGTATTTTTAGTAGAGACAGAGTTTCACCATGTTGGCCCAGCTGATCTCGAATGCCTCGGCCTCCTAAAGTGCTGGGATTATAGGCGTGAGCGACTGCGCCCCTCCTCCAACAGACATTTTTAACTTCCTTCCCTCTTGCAGTCCCCACTGGAAGAATATAAACTATTCTTAGCTTTCCTTGTAACTGGGAATGGCTGTGTGACACAGTTCTAGCAAATGAGTTATAAGAAAGTATTTGAGAACTGCTGGGAGGTCATGAGTTAAAAAAAAGATGTAGCTGGCACAACCTTTTAGTGCAAAAGTAATGTTTTGACTTGACCAGCCATTTGTGATGATGAAGGAAGGGCCAAGAGCACTGGAGTCATTAGTCATGACATTGTTGAGCCACTGATTCGATGTAATCAGATACTTTTCCCAATGTGAGAAAAATATTCCCTTCCCAAATTTGTTTCTGTCACCAGTAGTCAATGTTTTTTTGCTTCTTATACCCAAAAATACTCCTAATGGAAACACTAGTAAGATATGCAGTGTGCAGCAGGGAAGCCATACAAACATCTAGAGTTGATTTTCTTCAGAAATGCAGAAGTGCAGTAAAGGAAGTGCATGATGATCATTGCCCAGTACTCATCTATATGTTTATGTTTTAAGAAGTAGGATCATTTAACACATTTTCTCATTTATTACATATAAATAGCCTTAGGCTGTTAGTAGTAAATTACTATGAACATGTTGGTCTTAGAGATTGAATATTTCCTCAGTTATGAATTATTCTATTTTGCATAGGATCAAAATAAAGAGAATTGAAATTTTTTAAACATAATTTTACATTTCCCAGACCTTTTAGGATGCATAGAGCAAATAAGTAAACTTACGCTCTATGGTAAATTATTTTCTCACAGGCCAGAACATGTATCTAACTGTTCATCTATTACTAAATACTGACCTTGGCATGTCTAGTGAGAACCACATGAAATTAAAGTTTTGGAACAAAATTAAGCCCGTTTCACTGTCTAGAGGCATATAATCTGTTTATAGAAAGACAACTTTAATGTGGGTGTTAAATTATTCCTTTTTCTCTTTTTACAACAGGTATTAGTTTTCTTAGGATATTGGTATCTCTTGAGACAACACTACATAAAAGTGTCACTTGTTATTAACAGGTTGTTAACTTTTATTGTACAAGAATAATGTTACTAATGATCACGATTATTGAAATGAAGGGTGTGGAAGGGTGATATATGGCTTGCAGTAATTCTCACATTTCAGAAGCATACAAGTTATCTCTTGGTTTGCAGCTGCAGCTACGATATTCAGAGGAAGGGGCTCTGTGTTTTCAATGTAATCCCTTTCTGATTAAGCACATTATATCTTCATAATTTAAGCACATAGGCCTTCATAACGTATGTATTCTTCTAGCTGCTCATTGTTCTCATATAGAGTTGCAATTTAGCATATACTTACGCTAAATAAAGTATATGCAATTTAGCATATACTTAAAAGTATTTTTCAAATTACATCATTTTTGATTATTCCATTTCATCTGGGCAATGGCTGTGTGGAGCTGGAGCTTCATTCCAGTAAATACTGACTTAACACTGGTAGATTAATTTATTTGCATTTGCACTTCTATTTATTAATACAGTAACATGTAAATCACCTTAACAACATTGGTCTAGAAACTGAATATAACAGTCTGTCATAGCAAACTTATAAAAAAATCACAAGTTTATGTATTACTGCTACCATTAGACCTATTATATTGTAAACCTGACAAAGACCAGCATTCTTACCTTGTTTAACCAGGAAATTAGACAAACATCCAGAGTATTTTTATCAGCAACATAGAAGTATTTTGGACTGTATTATTCAGACAGCATACTATTCAATAAGAATATGGGACAAAATGAATCTAGAAGGCTAGAAGAGTTTTGAGTAATTTAAAAGGCAGAGAGAGGCTACTGACTATTTGTTTTAATATATTATACATTATGAATCTTT